AACTGAAGAGCGTAATTTGCTAAGAGCGACCAAGAGATTGATCGGAAGATATGGCGACTCCGCCGGCAGAATCTCGCAGCAACAGAGCGGCGGTGCAGGCTACGAACGACGATGCATCCGCCAGTAAATTGTACGTTACCTCTTTCTCCTACTTCGTTTCTTTTGTTATGTTTCCGCTAATTCTCCTGTAAATTAGGGCTCTTCTTTGATATTGTTAGCTCGGGACTCTTCTGTATTGTTTTTTATCAGTTCCTGGTATGGTTGTGGATGTTTGAGCATAGATAAGATTAGTTTGTTGGTTATGCTCATTTGCTATGCATTTTGAAGGTCTTGTGTCAAAAAGGGATACATTAAAGACGATTATGTTCATCTCTTTGTGAAAAGACCTGTTCGAAGATCTCCAATCATTAATAGAGGTAACTCTGATTGATATGGGTAATGTTGTTTGCTGTGTGTCCTGTTTGGATGAGAGCTTACACAAACTGGTTTGGATTTCCTAGGTTACTTTTCTCGTTGGGCTGCCTTCCGGAAGCTTATGTTTCAGTTTCTCGAAAGTCCTCCTCAAACCAAGAAACAGATACTGTCACTTGGAGCTGGCTTTGATACCACGTATTTTCAGTTGCTGGTGCGTCTCTTTTCCGTTTTTATAGGTCTGGGAAGTTTACGGAATTCTCCACTTGCCTATTTATATATATGTACTTCGGTTTATTTTTGGGACTTTGGGTGCTTCTGTTCTCATTTTTCGTTTTGTAGGATGAGGGTAAAGGGCCCAATTTGTATGTGGAATTGGATTTTAAGGAGGTACCATTCATGAAATTCATTTTTACCTGATGAATGCTGAACAAAGTATCTCGAGTCTTGTGCTAAATTGATTTGCTTCTTACGTTAGGTGACAAGTAAGAAGGCTGCTGTTATAGAAAACTCCAGCCAACTGAGGGACAAACTAGGAGCAAATGCATCTATTTCAATTGGTGAGAGGCTTTTTTTTTGCTATGTGAAATGCAGAACGATCCTTTTCTTCATGATGGATTTCAGCTAGTGCAGTCCAGCTATTACTGATATTGATATTCATCTTTCATTTCATTCAGCTTCTACACAAATCCCCTTTTGCTTTTACTCTTGGCTTGTAGTTTTGGTGGCTTACTCTAAATTTTGCTGTTTATTTCTGCAGAGGAAGGCCAAGTGCTCAGTGATCACTACAAGTTACTTCCAGTCGACCTGCGTGATATACCAAAATTAAGAGATGTTATATCCTCTGCAGATATGGATCCAAGGTTTGCATGAACAAATTTTCTTTATGTTAAGTTACACACTGTTATGACGTATTGTTTGGAATCCTCAACCTCTTCTCCTACGGGGGATAAAGACACGTGGTAACAGATGCTGACAGATAATAAAACTACTTGATTCCTAATATCATTATCAGTCTGCCGACATTTATTATTGCAGAATGTGTTTTGATATATCTGGACCCCGATTCAAGCCGTGCCATCGTCAATTGGGCGTCAAAAGCGTTTTCAACTGCAGTATTTTTCTTATACGAGCAGGTATTCTGGCATTTTGTATCTATATAATTTTTTTGTTCAACTGTGAGTTTCTTTTTTTTCTCTCCATAAAATTGCAGATTTGTATCTAACTACTGGTGTCTAATTCATGGTTTTTTTGTTTGCAGATCCATCCCGATGATGCATTTGGACACCAAATGATTAGAAATTTGGAGGTAAGAATGTGTACTCTCGTTGAAGCGACATCGTCATGAGTAAAGCTTAAATTGTTGATATTTTTGCAGAACTATGTGGCATCTAGTAAAACATATTAATATCATAATATTGTTTTGATCAATGTACCTTCATTGAAGCTCGTCCTGATTTCTTTAAGCCGTAATGTTGTTTCTGTGCTTCAGAGTCGGGGGTGTGCACTCTTAAGCATTGATGCATCACCCACTTTACTTGCAAAGGAGAGATTGTTTCTTGACAATGGTTGGCAGGTGCGCTTTGCAGTTACATATCATGATTATATAAATGCAATGAGATATATGTATTCATGACCAAAATCTTTGATCGAGTTGCCAAACAGTTTGAGTGCAAATTCATCTAACAAAAACATGCTTGTGAAAAGTCTATGCTAGGTCATTTTCAATTCCTTTATGATTTCTGTCGTTTATGATGTGGCTATAGGCTATCATTGTGACATTATATTGAATTTCAAACCATTTTTGGTTCGAGGTACCAAGTTGCAGTTTTCAGTCTTTCGTTTTGGTCATGATGGCCGGTTGTAGCTAGAAGAATGTGCCATGTCTGATGAAAGCAGGGTCTAACTTTCAAAAATATAATTAATAAATGGCTCTATCTTAATCTTTTCTTTGTTTTGGTGTATCAGAGAGCTGTTGCCTGGGACATGCTAAAAGTGTATGGTAGTTTTGTTGATGCTCAAGAAAAACGCAGGTCTGTGCTGTAGTTATCGTTCTAATTATGTAACTGCGTTATGTTATTCATATATGGTCTCTGGCCGGCGCTCTTTCGGAAAAGTTCTGTTTGTCAAGAAATATCTAAGAAGTGTTGTTGTCGTGTTTCTAGGATCGAGCGATTGGAGTTGTTTGATGAATTTGAAGAGTGGCACATGATGCAGGCAAGTCCGTCTCCACCTTATTATGTGTATGTATGAGAAAGAAAAAACAACAACCAAAAGATGAATTGTCTTGAATTCCAACAGGGTCTCCAATCCATCATATCTTTTCGATTATAGTGAGATGGTAGTTGATAGAAATTGTGAGTAAACATTTGATTTTTATTTGTCTTCAACAGGAACATTACTGTGTGGCATATGCTGTCAATGACGCAATGGTACGTAAATGAGACATGTTCAAGTATTAACCAGTTATTGTGCATTTTAGTTTCTGAAGACGGAAGAAACTCTGATGAGGTTGGGGGGAAAGTGTTGATAAAGTGCAGTCTGCTTTTTGCAATGCAGGGAATATTTGGGGGTTTTGGTTTCACTAGAGAAGGGGGCGGTGAAAACATCAGTATCTCATCAACATCGTCACCTTGAAAAAGGAGGAGGTTTTTTTTGGCTTGGATCCCGGGCAATTGCAAATGGTACTTGAGTTTCTGCCTATTTACAGTTGGTGGGTAGAATGTGAGAATACTTGAACCAAATTTATGTGGACTTATGGATTGGTGAGTCGTCCTAAATATCTTTGTTGAGCAGAGAAGAAAGGAGACATGACGTACTTGTCTGCGTTGTTTGAAATAAGAATTGTTAGGCTTATGGGCTTGTGAGAATGCTCTTCTTTCCTCTGTTTAATTTTGGTTTGTATGCTCTCTGTTTCTTGTATTGTTCATTGAGATACCAAGAATGACAATGCAAAGGCTTCCCAGTTTGAAAGTTTCCCATACAAAGAAACCTCCATGACTACAAAAGTTTCCTTTTTTCTTCTTTCGGTGGGGGAAAAATTAATTATCTTTGTTTTCTTTAAAAAGACACAAGTTTTTAAAAAGCAAAAAAAAAAAAGACAGTCATT